GGATCTGAACCCGTTGATCACGTTAAATCTAACTGTCCGATCGCGTTGGAGAGGGAGGCGCATCCGGGCCCGTCTGTGCGCGCATGAGCGAATCTGGGCCGTCCAATCGTGGGCACGTAGATCGCCTGCGTGGCTTCTCGCGTGGCACCGCATCAGCGTCCCTTGCACGCAGCGTGCTACGGTCCGTTTGGGCTGCTGACTGGGCGTTCTACGTGGTATAATTTTCTTAAATTGTGTTTTGATCCTTTATTTCTAAATTTTAAAAAAAAAAATACCATAAGAACCCAAATTTTAACCAATTTCTCCCAAAATTATTTTCAATTTTATCCTCTATCAAATTTTCTTCATTTTTACATTAAATTAAAATTTAAAAAATATATTTAAAAATTAATTTAAATTATATTAAAATTAATTTGGGTATTACAAGGGAAGAAGAAAAAGGAGAGAGGTTGTTAAGTTGATGATATCATGAAAAATAATGGAGTTAAATTTGAGATTGAAAGTGAAAAGAAGCTAATTTTGTTTACTGTAGAAGAAACAAGCCATGGAGTTGAGGGGGCCTTTTTTATGACCTAATTTGAATCAATTCATATCTAACTCTTTTAATTTCACCTTACATTTATCATAACATTCAATTTACAAATCAATCAAAAAGTGATATGTACAAATAAATTTGACACGTGAAACTAAGTTAACAGTGTTAATTTTTGTTTAAGAGAAAAATTAAATTAATTTTTTTTAAAAATATATAAATTAGTTTGAACTAAACAAAAATTAATTTAAATAAAGTAAATATTACGGATACAAAATCATTATTTTAGCTCTAAGTTATATATGTACCTGTATATATACACATAGAAAATGTTGGAAGCTAAAAAACCAAAAGTGGATTTTCGAAATAAAAAAGAAATGAAAAGCCGAAAGTGGTGGAATTCGTGAATCATGATTGGTGGCTTAGGATCTCCTATTTGGATTTCTATGGCCCAAATGGCATGCTACGTGGGCCACCGTCGGATACGTCGTCTATTCTTTTTCCTTAATTCCCTTGCAAGTGGTTAAAAAAATATCTAACGCCGTCATCACATAGTAGCTGACGCGATAAAGTTCAAATTTTGGTTTAGAACCAAAAAAAAAAAAGAAAAATAAAATATCGGATCAAACTGAAAGTTAAATGTAATTTGGTTCTTAGTTTAAAATAATTTATTTTAATAATTTCATAAATTTTGATGAACTATTATAATTTCATAAATCTTGACCTAGCAATGGAGGGTTCGGCACCTCTGATTGGTCGTGAGTTAATGGTAAATATTGTTTTTTTAACCAGTTACTCGGAATTAACTCTTCATCTTCAGTCTTCACGTTCAAATCAACCGTCTCTACTGTCCAGCAAGAAAAACCAAAAATCAGCCATGTCTTCTCTCTCCCTCGCATTCAATAGTTTCGCCATATGTCCAAAAATCCATCCCACATCAACTCTCCTGCGACCCAAAACACCCATCACTCTATCATCTTCTACCTCCAAACTCCGTTATTTACCTACGATCAGATGTGCTCGCCAGAGTCCTGATATCCTTCCTGTTGATCCAGTAATAAAACCTAGATTGGAACTCTTCCTGTCAACTGCAGCAAGCTTGTATCCTCTCTATGTCACTGCGGGAGGACTCCTTGCTTGCTGGAAACCTTCAGCTTTTGATTGGTTCGTGCAGGGAGCGCCACTCTCGTACAGTCTGTCACTTGGGTTTATTATGTTGACCATGGGACTCACATTGGAGCTCAAGGATTTTTTTCAACTGTTCGTGGATAGACCTTTCTCTGTGAGTTTGCTTCCTGTCCATCCAATCTTGTTCGTCTTTTATTTCTCCTAATTGATTTGGATAACGGTGCAAATTGAGTAATGTGAAATGGGTTTTGTAATCTGGAAGATTTATTTGAAGCTTGAGGTTTCCATGAGATATACGTATAGACTATTTATATAACTTTGAATCGTTCACTAATTTTCTTATCAAGTGCTTGAAGTTTCTTTCCAGAAATTGCCCACCATGAATATGAATTCTGAGGTCATTATTACTTGTTTCCCAATTTTTGTCAGATACTTTTTGGATGCTTCGCGCAATATGCCATTATGCCATTGTTTGGGGCGCTTATCAGCAAGATTTTGGGGCTTCCGCCATCACTTTCTGTTGGATTGATATTGCTTGGATGTTGCCCAGGAGGTACGGCCTCCAATGTGGTAAGACCTGATTTATCTTCATTTCCCTTCTTAAACTGTGCATGCTCCAAATTCACCGAGAAGTATCTTATACATGAGATTATGTTTTTATGGTCCCTTGCTTTTGTGCTTGAAACTAAAATGGCCATATCTACTATTTGCATCAAGCATTTAATCTAGGAGAAATGGAGAATAATTTTTGTAGGCCGAGGGCTTTGGCAGTGAGCATCTTTTGGTACCTCAATTTGATCCATCAATATAATTCTCTAGCCTATGCATGATGTTACTAAGATTGTCTACTTAAAATGGTGTCTGGGAATGATGCAAGGTTGGGCCCCCTAAAAAGGAGTTCTTTACAGTATTTGTTTGTTTTTACCAGTAAGAGGCTTAGAAAGACCATATTTATTGAAAGGACTAGTTCGACTTACAAAGTCATTGAAGCTTGAGGCAGAAAATCGTAGGTTCGGATTTAGCTTGTGTGAACTTGAGTGGATAACAGGGTAGTATTGTGAGAGTTAACTACTCAGAACAGTTAAATGCTTGAAAAGATGTTTGATTCTTTGTCATCAACTATTCTTATGTTATCAATATTCATTAACTTCAGTAAGTGAACAGAAAACCTGTCAGAAGCAGCTTACGTAAACATGTAGGGAAGTTATAATTTCTGTTTTTTATTAAAAAATTCCACTACAGAGGTAATAGATGAATATGCCATTTGTCCTTTTCCCCCTTATCCTTTTCTAACACAATTTCCAAATATGTTGAACTTGGTGAATGCTTATTTCTTGAGGTGGTTAAGCAAGTGGTATTCTAATGGAATTTGATGCCTCAAATTGTCATTTTAGTTTGTACATTCAGCACCTGGAAATGATAATGCTTTACCAATAAAATATTACATTCATTTTTATTTTGGAGCAATAGTATTACAGGTGACCTTAATTGCTCAAGGAGATGTTCCACTATCTATTGTAATGACAGTTTGCACTACCCTCGGAGCAGTAGTTCTCACTCCTCTTTTGACAAAGATTCTGGCAGGAGCTTATGTTCCTGTTGATGCCATTAAGCTCTCCATCAGCACAATGCAGGTATATCAAGTTCTTTTTTGAAAAGGTATATCAAGTTCTTATATTACCTTTGATTCCATATTGCTATAATCAATATGGCATTTCTTTTCCTGATATTGCCAGATTCCTAATTTTCTATGTAGGTGGTGGTTGCTCCAATTCTGTTAGGTTCCTATCTACAGAGAAAGTTTCCTGTAACCGTGAACATTATAACACCTTTTGCACCATTAGTGGCTGTCTTATCCTCATCACTTCTTGCATGCAGGTTGTTTTCTTTTGATTTGCTAAAAAAGATATTAAGATATTCAACTTGCTGTCTGTCCATTACTAATTTTTCTCCTATCATATCTCTCCAGTGTATTCTCAGAAAATGTTGTTCGTCTCAAATCTTCAGTTCTTGCTGCACCATTCTCATCTGGTCTCGGTCCTATTCATCGCATTCAATTGATATTTTCTGGAGAATTAGGTCGCATAATACTTTCTGTGCTTCTGCTACATTTTGCTGGTTTTTTTGTTGGGTGAGTTGATCTTCATTTTCATCTTTGATTATTATGATTAGTACTGTTTTTCCTTTTTTGCTTTGAGCTGGTCCTTATAAGTTTAATATCATAACATTACTAATTGCTGGCAAAAACTGTTGTTTCCGCTTCTTTTTCTATTTCTCTACCTTGTTTCAAATTCAAATTCTTTGATTTACAAGTTATGAAGGAGATTACATCTGTGTGAACCTCTCGGTTAGTATTAGTTACAACAATATTATTATTGCATAAATTGTGGCTCCACCTTTGGTTTTTCTGTAGAATCATTCTGAAGATTTTGCAATGCAGTAACTGAATTTGTGGGAACTAGGAACTATTTCTTATCTCTCTATTTATAAATTTAGTTTATTTTGATAACGGGTATTCAGTTTAAGTGTCTTTTACATTCACTTATAGGTACATTTCAGCAGCTATTTGTGGGTTTAAGGAACGTCAACGCCGGTCGATATCAATTGAGGTATTATTTTGCTTGTTACACTGCTCTTGATCTAATAAAATGTGGGATATCCTTGCTCGAAAGTCAACTTAGAATTGTAAAAAGAGTACGTAGACTTTTCAATGATTATAAAGAATTTTCTCTCTCATTGCTAAAGAAGGAGTTTTCTGAAAATTCTCAAGCTGTTGCTTTTCTTGAAAATCATTTAGAATTTTAATTGTGCTGAAATGAATCATAAGAATCATAAAAAGTCCATTTGGTAACTGTGCTCGTGCTTTCAGTCCATATGCAACTGTAATAATCATAAGAATGCGGGTGAAGGATCTTTCATTGAGGAATACTTTTGCAGGTTGGTATGCAGAACTCTTCATTGGGTGTCGTTTTAGCTACAAGTCATTTCTCTTCACCGATGGTTGCACTACCGCCAGCCATGTCTGCTGTGATCATGAACATCATGGGTAGCAGTCTAGGGTTCTTCTGGAGATATGTTGATCCTTCTGATCCAAGCACTCCTGAGGTTGATGACCGGTGACCCTGACACTGACTTTTGTGTTGGGTCCTTAAAAAGCAAGATTTATTTAATCTTAGTGAGATATTCTTTGGAAATATTTCTATTCCGTGTAACATGTAAAACTGATGTGGAATGAAAATGAGATCGTTTCATGAGTTGTAAAGAAAGGATTGGTTGAGTTAGTGATCAAGAAGGGTTTCTTGTATTTATTTCATTATAATCAGGGTTCTCTTCCATTCAGTTAGATCATAAGAAATACTTAAAATGTATTATGTGAATGCACATCCAAGCAGCAATGCATTGTGAGGTGGGGAAACAACATTTTCTGAAGTTTTTATCTTTACTGAAATCAAAAGGTGGGAAGTAGTGACTTTGGTAGTTGTCTTTGGATATGATTAGAAATGATGAGGAAAGTTTTTTTTTTTTTTTTAAGATTAAAAATTATGTTTTTTATCCGTTGTGATTATGTCAATTAAGAAAATTTAAATGTTACTAAAATGTTCTTTTTATCTAAAAATGTAATACATTCGTTAATATTTAGTTGAATTTGATGAGTGCAGTTTTATTAATACATAAATAAATTAAGTTATCTATTTTATTGAATTAAATATTTTTCGAAAAATTCAGACACAGTAATTTCAATAATCAGAAAAGAATTGAATCTTTATTTATCAATAGAATGAAGGTGTATTAGCAACTTGTAGCAGTTGTATTAGAAGGAAGAGAAGAAAACAAAAGTATTTTGGCTGGACCAGTAAGATTTTTAACTCGATATCGCAAGTAAAACCAAGATCATGCTTTGAAATGCCCAATAAAATTCATTATTCTTTTTCATTGTCTTAATGTTTTTAATGGAGATATACTTACTGTAGGACTAAGAAGAAAACACCTAAAACAACACATTGTCAACATACACACATATATATATATATATATATATATATTCAATTGTGTCACATTTGGATATACTACACAAAAGAAAATTAATTTTTGTGAGTGATAAATTGATTTATATATATAAAATGGGATTTTACAGTTTATCATATTATTTATTGACAGTTGTCACATAATGTAATGACATCCATGCCAAGTTAATTTGTTTAGAAGGCATCGAAAGCCTGCTCAATTAGTTCGGCGTCGTCAATTCCAACCCACATACACATATATTATGATATATATATATTGGATTTTTTAAAGATTGAAGCTTTGTTAATTTGCAGCAAAGCAAGCTACCGCAACTAAAATCTGGTGCAGATGAAGCATCATAAGGAAACTACCAGCCAAGCAAACCTAAATGACTTGTCTCAAACTATCTGCTTATTCAAAAAATATCTACTCAACAAAAAACCCTCACCCATTTCTCACCCATTAATCAACAATCATGTTTTCATCAATCGACATCTCCCCCCTCCCAAGTTTCGGCGTAGACCCATTTCTTTGCTCGAACAAAGATTACTTAACGATCCAGACATCACGAGGTAATTGGTCACGTTGCGAACCCTGTGTTGATTATACAAGTAATTGGATTCAGCAAAAGTTGTTTCTTCTTTTCACTTTTTAAACCATGTTGTGTATGTATAGGTTTGAGGGTATGCAGTCAAGTAGAGATGATGCTGAAAACCCTTCAACAGCACAACTGACAATTTTCTATGCTGGGGCTGTTAATGTATATGACAATGTTTCCATTGAGAAGGTGTAGTATTAATTTGTCTCATAATATTCATTAAACTAGTGCTTTTTACACATTAAAGAGAACAAATTAATACATGTAAATACACACACACACACACATATATGTATATAGAGTGATTTGGCATGAATCATATTCAACAAAATGATAACTTTTCTTGGGTAATTTTATGTTATACAGGCCCACGCCATCATGGTTCTTGCTGGAGAAAACTCTTTGCCAAGACCTAAAGAAAAGCCATCAACAGAGATGAGATCAACACAGCTTTCTGCCTGCAGCTTACAATCAAGTAAAATATCGATCTAGTTTCTTGTCAACTTTATTTTCATACTTGGTAAGAATAATATAGCATTCCACAAATTCTTTGTTTGTGTTTTAAGTTGTATATAGGGATGTACAACATATTTTGCACCAAATTATATTTAGATATGTAATTTACCATAAATTCATGTGAATTATTATGTTCAACTCAAATGAAATTTCATCTAAACTTAAAATTATATGTCGAGTTAGATGAATCGTATCGTTATACTTTAATATAAAAGGTCAATTTTTATTACGGTGTTAAACAACTTCACATCTATAATTTTATGTATAAAAATATATATATATATATATATTTATCCTATATTATACTTGTATTAAGTAAATAGGATGTAGGATATATCTATCATTAAATTTTATTGATATCTCATATGTAATAGGAGTTGATGTAGCATAATATCTATAGTAGTCTAAACTATTCTTGTTCATATTATTACAATACAGACCTTCCAATTGCAAGAAAGATTTCACTTCAACATTTTATTGAGAAACGCAAAAGCAGGTATATTATACACACACACACGTGTATACATATATGTTCACTTCAACAGATATATATATATATATACAGATAATTATTGAATATAATTGAGATTGTGTGTAATTTTGCAGGGTGATGAGCCAGTCTCCTTACGCTCCTCCTGCTAGAAAAGAGAAGGAGAGTGCCCCAAATGCGAATGATCCCACCAATATTTCTCTTTTGCCATTCATTCTCCTTTAGTTTGTCTTTCCCCAGTGAATCAAATTATATGCTGACTTTATATAATACATACATATACATATATATATATATATATATTACCAAGATTTCCTTGATCAATTTTCTTCTTCTTTCATTTCAAACACTGGAGTTTGATTCTATAGTAGGTTGAAGATGATGATGATTTTGCAGGTAATCAATCAAAGGTAAATTGGGAGATATATGATGTTGCAGATAATACAGTCGAACCTTATAAATGTGATAAATTACAAAGTTTTAAGGGCTGTAATCAGAATTATATTACATATTTGAATACATTATATTTCAAATATAAACAAATAATGTATTCACCCATAATACATATTGTATTTAATTTAATTAATTTAAATTTTAATAATTTTATTATATTTTATGTTAAATAAATATTTATAATAATTAAAATTTTTTAATTGAGACACACAATAAATTAATTGTCATTATATACATTTTTAGGTGCTATACATTTAATTAAAATTATTTAATATCTTAAGGGTAAAAAATAAAAATAAAAATAAACGGATTTCTCAAACCACGTGAATTTTCCGCAGAAATTCTGAGGATTAATTGATGACTGCTGCTGACTACATAACCAAGAAACTGAAAAACAGAAAACTGACTCCTCGATGAACCCCACAATCATTAATCCTCTCCCATCTTAGCCCTCCACCAACGACTTTTCGACGGTCCAGATTCTCTTTTACGCCAATACCTCCCCCTCTCTCTACTCATAAAGTAGTCTGTGAGCTGAAGCTCAAACTCTTCCCTCTCTCTTCTCCTTTGATCTCTCTCTCATGGCCTCGCTTCCCATCCATTTTCTGATCTTCAAGGTTTATCATGTTAATTAGTTGGAAAATCAACTTAGTGTCTGTTTGATTTTCATTTAATCGGGAAATGGCCAATGGTACAGAAGGATCGGACCGCCAAATCCCAAACCCTACCTCCAAAAAACCGGAGGAGAAGCCACCGCTGCTCAAGAAGTTCAGGACGATATCTGATGACACGCGTCCCACTCCGCACTTTCCAGGACCACTCTTCCCCGCCGTTCGCCGCGTCTCTTCAGTCCCTCCCTCTCCCTGCAGGCCCTCCGATCTTCGCGTCTCTGTTGCTGCCGATGCACCTGCGGAGCACAATATCACTAGCGCCAGTGCCAGCAGCAACCGGAATGTTAGGGGCCTGGGGGATATGAATAGTTTTGCGGATCGAGATTGGTTGTTCCCTTCGTTTCTCGGGCCGCACGTGGTCAAAGCGTCACAGTCGCGGAAGCATGAAGGTGGCCGAGGTCGCAGGAGGGCAATGGATGGGGTGCACGGTAAGATGGCCGTAGATGAGAAGCAGGGATTTGCTGCTGCTACTGCTGCTCCGAGATTTGATGTGGTGGAGAGGGAGAAAATTGTAGGTAAGGAACAGAGGCCCCCGGCGAGTCAAGTTTTGGTGA